TGCGACATACTGTCCATTACGAAGTATTTACTACAAATATGGAAAGAAACAACCGGATTGAAGTGGTTTACATTCATCATCATCATCATCATTACATGTTAGCTGGAGGTGGAAAACACCTCAGCTATTGTGCCGCAATACAAAAGACAAGGAAAGGAAAACAAACAGTGGCACGCCCGCTCAGTCCCCAGTAACGGATAGACATCGTTCCGGAGAGCTAACAGCTGGCTGCCGTAAAAGAAACTCGTATTGTGCCTATCAAGTGAGATCATGAATGGAGAGGGATGCTAAACAGGAGGGGGATGGACAAAGGAAATCACAACACAAACGCCATTGATGCCGGCTCTGAGCCATATCAGCAAGTGTGTCCAACCAAACGTGTTCACCGTCCTTAGGACCCCAGCCAGGCAGTCGGGATGCACCAATCGACGCCAAATTCGAAGTGAGGGTTTTCATTCCTCTCGACCAAGTCATCACTTGGCCTCCCCTCCTCCTCTTCCAACCGCACCCACAACGCGCAAACAATGCACATCGCGGGAGTCGGTGTGCTGGCATGCGCAACAAGTGGCACAACCATCGGAGCATGGTGCGTGATATAATGGTGCAGAGCGGTTCACTCGCTCTTCCTGCACCAAATACGCGATGTCGAACACGCACATTGCTCACGCGGTGTTCCCACCAGACATGAGCTAAGCTGCGAAGGCAGCGATGATCGAATGTGACGAGTCTCTTCATGTCAGTCGACCTGATGGGCCAGGTTTCGCAGCCGTATAGGAGCTGGGTTATAAAATCTGCCCTTCAGGGCGAGAGTAATGTCGCGTCTGCGCCACAGGTGGCGGAGATTGGCAAAAGCACCTCGAGCTTTTGCTATACGGTTCGTAACCTCATCTTCAATCCCACGGGTGCTAATATAGCTGCCCAGGTACTTGAATTACTGCACGACTTCTAGCAGATCACCACCAAGCGTTAGCGCAGGGTTGGGTCCCTGCCAATCTTGGAGAAGTACTTTGCATTTCGATGGAGCAAAGCATAGTCCAAAACGACTGACAGCCAGTGCTAATCGGTCCAGTGCTCTTTGGCATGTTTGGAGGCTGTCACAGATTAGGGCAATATCGTCCGCATACTCCAAGTCAAGAAGTCGCTCACAAGGAAGTAGCTCCACACCTTCTAGGTCGTGTCCAGCGAACGCTGTTTCCATGACTTCATCAATAGCGAAGTTGAAGAGGAATGGTGACAGCGGACATCCTTGTCTCACGCCGCTGGTGATACTGAAGGGTGGCGAGAGTTTGCCATAAACCCTCACCCTGCCCGAACTATGCGCGTACAGCGCTTTGATAATATTTACATATTTATCAGGCACACCTTTCCTCAGCAGACAGTCCCATAGGGCACATCGATCGACCGAATCGAAGGCACCTTTTATGTCAAGAAACACGACAACGGTGGGTCGTCAAGAAACATGGCGGTGCTCCAACACTTGACGCAATGTGAAGATGTGGTCGATGCAGCCCCGACCTCGACGAAATCCGGCTTGCTCTTCAGGAATCTGGCTTTCACGAGTGCCAGTCAGTCTGTGAAGAATGACAGAGGCAAGCAATTTAGAGGCAAAGGAAATCCGACTGATCCCTCTAGGATTGCCGCATTCCAAACGGGAGCCTCCCTTGAAAATTGGGACAATGACGGAGCGGTTCCAGTCTGTCGGGACTGTCTCCTGCTCCCAAATTTTACTAAGAACTCGTGTAGATCATTTACTAGAGCAGGTCCCCCGAATTTGAAGAGAGCTGGGGGAATTTTATCTGGCCCTGCGGCCTTATGCAATTTCAACAGCCTGATCTCACCTTCGACTTCTGCGCGTGAGGACGGATCCAAGGAAACGGCCCAGAGAGAAGGGCGCCCAATGCACGAAAAAGAAAGCGATAACTCAGGTTGGTTAAATTGCTTTACAAAGTGTTCGGCCCAACGCTCCAAGCGTTTTGACAGGCTGTGCATCGGCTGCCCACTCTCTTTGCGTATGGTCTCGCTAACACCAGGTCTCCTGCTGCCTGTTTCCCGTATCAGACGGAATAACTTACGACGATTACCAACGGCAGCGGCTGTTTCCATCTCAGAGGCACGATGAGACCACCAGGTTTCGCGGTCCTTCTTCAGGGTAGCACTTAGTTTTGCCCTGAGATTTTTGAGAGCCTCATTGTATTCGCTTCCAGCCGGAATACGTCGGCGAGCATCCATAAGTTCCAGAGACTGTGTAGAGACCCAATGTCCGGTTTGGCAATTTGCTTTGCCACATGAAGACATGCCTGTGGACAGTAACGTTTGACGAATATGCGACCAGTGATCTTCAACGGTGTTTAGTGGGCGCTTACTCAGCCCAGATGTCAGCGCACTATGGTATACATTCAGAACATCTGGCTTCGCCAGCTGGCTGGTGTCAATCCGTTCACCTCGAGGTTGCGGACGTCCACCGAAACACACCAGGAGGTCGGCACAGACAAGTGCGTGGTCAGAGTCCACGCTCGTGCTCCAAATTGAGCGACAATTTTGGACACAGCCCCTCCAGCGGTAACTGATCGCGATATGATCGATTTGTGTCCATGGTTGGCCCGAGGCTGGTAGCCGCCAAGTCACGCTTCTGCGGGTGCTGTGTCGGAAGTTAGTGCTCGCGAGAAAGAGGCGCGTATCTTCACACAGATGTAACAATCGCTCACCATTATCATTACGCGAGCCTACACCATGTTGGCCTCCCAGATGAAGCTCATCAGAGGACAACTTTCTGACTTGGGCGTTTAGATCACCAGCCAACACCACAGTATCCGTGCTTCTTCTGTAACGAAGGAGCTCGTGAAGTTGCTGATAGAAATCATCTTTTACCGAATCGGTGCTACAGTTTGTAGGGGCGTAAGCCGCAATGACAAACAGGCACCGTTTGTCCCCGCGCGACTTCGTAGCACGGAAGGAACCAACTAATCTAACGGCACACACTGTGGTTTACATTCCACACTCACAGCACTGCATCGCATGATCAGTCTGGGTTGGCCGGCGGCCGAGTGGTCTCACGCCTGACTTACAACATAAGATCACCGGTTCGAGTCCGCCTACGGACGGGCGTTCTCGCGGGTGGTGGTGGTCGTACAGCAGCGAAGCGCCGTTACGGCGTACAGCTAACAATGACCAGTTTTGCGTATGTGTACATTCATCCGGTAGAGACAGGGTTACCGCTGCTAGGTATCATAGAGTTATAATGCGGTGCGACGATTTGCCTGCATCTCCGACCTATTCAGCTAACGGAGAGATGCCCCTGGACCCCTTAGGGGCTCCTCCTACCAGGTTGCTCAATGATTACAGGTAAGACAAACTCAGTCTCTTGCTCCTCCGAGTTGGGGATAGAAAATGGGATGGCGTCCATTGCCACATCTCCGCTGCCTTACTGACAAGCTAATCGTCCTCCTGTCTAAGTCTGGGTGCCCTGTCATTTTCCCAGCCCACTTACGACCATGACTACTTCTTCAAACTTCAACCACATGCTACATCAGCCGTCGCACAGCTTATCAGGGGTCACCTTATCTGCCGCATACAGCTGGCGGATAGGCAAAAACATGCTATTGTTGGCGCTTCCGTTCTTTCCTTTTCACCTGTTTCTCTTACTCTCCTCCCAAACCCCAGCACTAGCCTTCCTTCTATAATTCCCCTTTTAATTGAGAGTAGACGTAATTCTCCTAAACTCATATCGTCTGCAGCTATCTTTCTACACCAACAACTGAACACCAATCGTCAACAGTTCCGTATAAGACCATACTGCCCTGTTTATCTGATGATGTTCAACGTTCGCACTCTAATACAAATAGGTCAATAGGCTGCACTCGTAGGTAGGTTGACACTCTGGACATTGACATGTGTTGCGTGTCTGAATCTAGGATCGATGACCCTCACGGGGTTGTTGGATTAACTGCGCCCGGTTTACCCTCTCGCTATTGGTTGCACTCATCCGGAGAGGCTGATGCGGAAATTACTAGCCAAGCTAGGGTGGACATCGCCCTCAGTTTCATGGTCGGTTGATTGGATTCCTATGTGAACATCCGTTTGTGTGCATCCCGCTTGACGACATCACTCAAGATTGATTCACGGAGTATACTATACGCAGTTTGTTGCTGATTTCCGCCTATGCCCCCCCCCCGACTTCAGTTCTGATGCTGCCAAGGACGCCTTCTATTACGAACCGAAAACACTACTACGAAGTGCTACCAGTTCAGACATCGCGGTATTTGCAGGGGATATGAAGGCACAAGCAGGTCACCTGGGTACTTCAGAAGCTCAGCTTAATTCCGACCGTACAGCTAACTGCGAGTGTCTGTTGAAACTGTGCGTGCAGCACCGACAGTTTCTTAGTAGCACCCCTTTTAGCCACAGTGAGCGCCGAAGTGCCACTTGATGACCAAGTATAACCGGGCAGCAGTGAACCCAAATTGATCGAGCGAGAAATGAAGCCACTGACGACGAAATTCGGTGCCGTTGGTTCGTCTCGCCTTCTAGACTAGAGTGCACGTGACCTGTCTTGTGCTTGGCTCGAGACGTTACAGGACACTGTTTGCATTCGACACCAATGGCATGCCTATTTGAAGTGTGTTTGGTGCTGTTATCCGCGGGGTAATGGTTGATTATGACGCGAGGCAGTGAAATCCGCAAGGAAGCTATTTAGCCGATGCAGACCTCGTTGTACGGCAACCAGTTTTTTGTGACGGTATGTTGTTGGCTAGGTGTAGGCACCTCGACAATGCGTGTTTGCTTAGGGTATTAGGGTTTTATGCCATATCCCCCTTATCTTCCTCTTATTATTCTTCCTTCCTTAGGTCACTGTGATTGTACGGTAGCGAAGAATCAGTACAGATGGCTGATGTACTGCTGTAGACGGGTCATTTAAGTGTATCGAGGGTGGATCACTTTTATGTAGTTCGTTTTTCCTGTTATTTAGTCTATCCGAGGTATGCACTTTGTTTCTGTTGTAGAAAATCAACCACTTCCCTGGTATGTCCGAATTGTGCCGCAAGGATTCTCTGGCTAGAAATCTCAATCGTATGGCGAAAATGTTCCCCAAAGACTATGCAATCTTCCCCAAGACATGGTGCTTGCCATCTGAGTACGTTTGTTTTGGGCATTTCACTGTTAGCGCGGGTGGTCAACATCATTGGTTGACAAAGTTACTAGTACTTGGGCTTTGTGAACCTGTTTGTGCCTTTGCGTGTTACTGCCAAATAAACTTTGTGATTAATATTTTAATCTTTTTGTTGTGAACCTTTTTGACTCAGTGAGTGTCTGGTGGTGATAGCTGAGCGCTACGTCAGTCAATCCGCCTAAAGACGTTTATTTCCCAGGTCGCATTGCTCAGTCAACGTAGTTTCGGGTGTCGTCTTGTAATATATTGCTGGGACGTTTCTCGTTGTTTTTCCAACGTCGGTGCAACATCAAACGGGCTTGTTCGAACTGACTTCGAGAAGAATGTTTCGTAACGAGCAGATACATGAGAAGAAAAACTAACACTAACCTCAGGTGAAACATAAGTGGCTTCTTAATCTATCCCATCACAGTTCGTAGCATTCACTTAAGGGGTTGGATTAACTTGCCTCTGAGTCGCTGCATAGTTAAAAGTAATGAGCTGTGAATTTCGTCAAAAAACTTTAAATTACCCGGGTACTACCGGGGGCTGTGATGTCTCATCATTCAATCTCGTGCTTAGCGAACATTAACCAGAAACACGCACCTCAGCTCAGGCATGTTAAAGACGCGACCCACGAGCTGTAGGATGCCGATTACACGCACAATTGTGGACCACACAAAGGACAATAAAATGTAGTCATTTACATGCATAATTTGTATTCTTAACAAGTTAAACTGGATGAAGGTGAGCCCTTATTAGGGAAACCGTGTAGTTTTTCATAGAGTGCTTTTGCACTTGGAACTAGCCTATCAGCCCTTATTCAATTTCAAAATTTCAGAAGAAAGGCAATTTCCGCCAAGAAATAAATATGACGTTAACTTTCATCACTCCACATTGATATAGTAAACAACTTCTGAGAATAAATATTATCATGTACTGGGGATACTTGGTATCTTACTGGAATCTACTGATAAGTTCAAAATTCCATAAAGTTTACCACAAGAAGGATAGTAATTAGTCTCAACCTATGTTGGTAAATGTCTAGCTTCCCCATGAGTGCCACAAAACTTCTTGGGAAACAGGGCTGATTAATCAACAGTTGAATCAATGGAAACTGTTATCATGTCTGATAGATCTCGAAATTTCACATGCACTGCAGCCAGAAATAGAAGCCATTTGCAGTAGAAATCGGTGCGTAGTACCAAGGCAGACCTCTACAACTAACTAGGTAATATTAAAATAGCGCAGTCTATTTTACCGACTTTTATTTTCATATATATATATCGCTGGTAATGTGTCAGTAACCGGTGGATTTATCGAACAATCTTAAACAATACCATTTTACAGGCATGTTAGCGCATCGTACCAAGCTTTTGGTGTGGCACATTTTCGAAATCGCTTGCTGTGCATTCAAGTTCTCAAGTCTAAGAACGCTGTTTTGGCGTCGTTGACATTCACTAGGCATGGGACGTTAGCCAATGGGACACCGTTTGGAAGGCCCGAGCATAAGCAACAGACGGTTCAATGAAATTGGTCGAGCACAAGCTTCAGCGCTGCCCTGATGCGTTTCTGAAGGAAACCCGATGATTTCTCTCCAAACTGAACCCGTCCAATGGGCAACTTGGGATGCCTGTCTAAAGAGCAGATCGTAGCTACCACTAGATCTGAAGCTTACACCGTAACCAGTGCGGACATACATACAAACCACCACATGAAGCGGGCTATACTTAATGATCGCCAGCCGCTACCTGGTGGTGGCTTATTTCAGCGGTCAAACGATGGTTACGATGGTGGCCTAGATAGACATTCTTCTAACTGGTATTCCACAGTCCCTTAGGTCTGAGGGAGTCAGGCATGCTTGCATTTGCGGTTGGTCAGGCATGCGCCGTGGCTATGACACTGCACACCCTGAGCTGAATCATCAATGGCTTCTAGGCGGTTGGACAATTTTGTGCGATTATTTTTGCAACGACCATGGGGGACATTATTCCCATTGAAGTAGGTAGACCAACCTGAAGGTGAACAACAAATGCTCTATGAGTGCTTACTTTCGAACAATGAACAATGATATATTACAGGTAAAAAAGCGATTGCTTTACAAGTCCCGTAGGATGGTTGAAGTGAAAGTAAACATAAGTGTAAATCGTCAGGTCAAGCGTCTCGTGAATTCAAGTGCCCCTTATTCATAGAAACGTCGTAGAATATGTACTGAATTGTTACTGTAGAGTAATATGGGAAGTAATATGGGTAAGGCAGGTCTTAAGAACAAGAGCAACGACCAACGCTTACTCGTGCACCGCTTTCTTAGACTGAGGTAAATAGATGAATGCAGATGTAATATATCCGAAACTATATTCCACAACAGCAGTGTGTAAATAGTGAAGCACAAAAGCTGAGAATGAGCACCGTTTTTTTCGCGTTTGTTTGACGTGGATATCTCTGACTATATAGCGTAATGTAGGTGGACAAGCGAATCATCCAGACGTCTTTTGAATAACGATAGCGTGGGGGAAGAAACAACGTATGTGGGAAGAGCGTTCCAGTGTTGGCACACACGAAGGGAAAAGAAATTCCGGCGGCATTCCAACCGGCTGTATTGTATTGCCAGCTTTAGACGGTGTCCTCTGAGTGTTGTATTACTATTCAGCTTTAGTAGGTGACGACAACAATGGTTTGGATTCCTCAGGATCATATAAGTCACAGTTGATGATTAAACACAAACTAAGGTGATTCCAAGTGTGGCGGTGACACGACATTAGTGAGTGTTCGTTTGCCTCCACACCCATGGGCGACTTTGTTAATCAGTTATCGCTTCAGTGTCAACTGGAATGCGTTATTTAAACGTCATGGGAAGGATGTAGAACTTATGTATTCATAGGATAATTAGGCTTTATTTTCATATGGTCGCTCATAGATATTGAGAAGCTTTGACAAGTCACTCTCCAAATGGCACCATTACAAACATAGTCAATGCAGATGGAACCTCCCTATTAATTCCATGGACTGGAATTCCATCCTCATGTAATCGAAGTTACTCAATAAAGAAGCACGTAAAGGGGCTTCAAAGCTTACCGTATTTATAAATGTCATATCTTCCTGCAAGAATAAACGCAAAGGCCGATAGTTAGTGGCAGTGCACGCATTTTACTCCCAGTAATTCATGTGAGTACTTGGAAAAGACAAACACCGTTGCCTCACCCACGGGCGTTCCTACAGCATGTTTGCAAACGTTTACAAATGACACCCGCGCCCACTAATCCTGCTATGGACCACTGTTTCAGACATAAAAGCAGACATGTGTGCACGCCGTGACACACGTTGTTATCGACTTGGCAACTACTGGGAAACATTTTGCCATTAGAAAGTGGGTAATTCCGGAGGCATTCTTGAAGAAGGAAAATTGCTCCAAAGCTTATGCTTACACTGCGTATGCAGTGCTTGTTAGCGGGTCATATCAGGGCTATAGGGTCACCTGATATTTCAAGCTTATCAATCACATGGAAGGGAAGCATAGATAGCATGTTAAAACGCAAGATTGACATGCATTTTCCGACCGTTACATAACTGCAGTTCCATGGGTACTGAGGCGGTAACTGATTACCGAACCAACCCGCGGGTGTGGAGACGAAAGAACCTTCACTAACGTCGTGTCACCGCCACACTAGGAACCCTACTAGTTGTAACAATGGTTACAGATCCAATGATGCTCTTACCTACCCAGCGAACTTGACCTTAGTATACAATACGCCGACTACATCAGCAGTACGCAGCTACACTATTCACATGAGTGTATGGCCAACAGAAACAACACAGCACGAGAACTTTGCAGCTGTAAAGGCTTTAAAATTTCCATTTGCGAACAATTCCTCATTTATACGAAGTACTGTATTGTTTATGATTACCTCACACTGCCTTAACAATTACATGCATTTCCTAAGCGAAATCGCACACGTATCGATTCTCCAGATTGCTCGCAGTGGCACAATTACACGTATCACGTGTGGCCAGATGGGCAAGCGAGCAAGGAGGCAACCGTACAGTCCATCCGAAAGCCTTCAAAGCTTCTCTTCCAACAGGCTTCAAACGCTGCAGCCTCAACACAATCAGCCAATCCGCTTCTTATTACCACTCACTTAGATATCATCTCCCTCGTGTGGAAGTGAAACCTGCTTACGCCAGATTGGTAGCATGACAAATCCCGTATTACGTCTCCGATTGGCTGATCACCCTCGACGCCATAGAAGTGTGCTGATACAGCGATTGCGATCAAGAGATACGCGACCGACCAACCGAGCCAATCGCACAGCGAACCCGAAAGCCTGCTATCAACCTGCAGGCAGTTTTAAACAAGATGACCATCGTTCCAAAATGTGTTCTTGTTTAAAACTACCAGCACATTCTCTGCCGCACCAATGCGCACCTGTAGGAAAGCCGAGGCATTCTCTCTGAAGTCAGACCGCCCAATCGACATGACCGCAAGCGTTCATACGACTGCACACGCGCACAGCGTCACACTCGTTACTTTTCCCTTTCTGTGGCCGCCGACACGACCCCAAAGTGGACTGTGTGATAGGAAGCGGACCTATGTGGTCCAAAGTACACGAATGTTTATTCGGCTACGAGTGCGGACGTACAGGCAAACTACCAACTGAAGCGATCGATAGTACTGGTTCATCAGCCGTTTCCTTGTCGTGCTATCACTCAACAGCCTGGCGATGGGTACGATGGTCTCGTACAGAGCCATTGTGACAGCTCGTATTACACAGCGCATGAGTTGTGGCGGACCCAGCATCACCTGCATGAGCGCTTGGCCTATCGCACACGCCATAGGATAGACGGCACGCACTCAGCCTCGGCAAGAAAGAGCACGCGCTAGGCTGATTTGTTAATGCATGCTCTGCGGTTGGCCAATGCATCCGTTGAGAATTCCAGGCGGCTCTTGGTATAATAAGGTTTCTAGGGGGCCACAAAGGGACATGTTGTTAAGAGTAGGTTGCCATAACACTAGAAAAAAATCTAAAAATTGTCTGTTTTTCTGTGCACTGATCTTTGGATTTGTATTTAGTATGCATATTCGTCAAACGTTACTGTTAGCAGGCACGTCTTCATGTGGCAAAGCAAATTGCCAAATCGGACATTTGGTCTCTGGAACTTATGGACGCTCGCCGACGTATTCCGGCTGGCAGCGAATACAATGAGGCTCGCAAAAATCTCAGGGCAAAACTAAGTGCTACCCTGAAGAAGAACCGCGAAACCTGGTGGTCTCATCGTGCCTCTGAGATGGAAACAGCCGCTGCCGTTGGTAATCGTCGTAAGTTATTCCGTCTGATACGGGAAACAAGCAGCAGGAGACCTGGTGTTAGCGAGACCATACGCAAAGAGAGTGGACAGCCGATGCACAGCCTGTCAAAACGCTTGGAGCGTTGGGCCGAACACTTTGTAAAGCAATTTAACCAACCTGAGTTATCGCTTTCTTTTTCGTGCATTGAGCGCCTCTGACTGGACCGTTTCCTTGGATCCGTCCTCACGCGCAGAAGTCGAAGGTGAGATCAGGCTGTTGAAATTGCATAAGGCCGCAGGGCCAGATAAAATTCCCCCAGCTCTCTTCAAATTCGGGGGACCTGCTCTAGTAAATGATCTACACGAGTTCTTAGTAAAATTTGGGAGCAGGAGACAGTCCCGACAGACTGGAACCGCTCCGTCATTGTCCCAATTTTCAAGGGAGGCTCCCGTTTGGAATGCGGCAATCCTAGAGGGATCAGTCGGATTTCCTTTGCCTCTAAATTGCTTGCCTCTGTCATTCTTCACAGACTGACTGGCACTCGTGAAAGCCAGATTCCTGAAGAGCAAGCCGGTTTTCGTCGAAATCGGGGCTGCCTCGACCACATCTTTACTTTACGTCAATTGTTGGCGCATCGCCATTTTTATTGGCGACCCACCGTAGTCGTGTCTGTCGACATAAAAGGTGCCTTCGATTCGGTTGCTCGATGTGCCATTTGGGACTATATGCTCAGGGAAGGTGCGCACGATAGATACATAAATATTATCAAAGCGCTGTACGCGCATAGGTCGAGCAGAGTGGGGGTTTATGGCAAACTCTCGCCACCCTTCAGTATCACCAGCGGCGTGAGACAAGGATGTCCGCTGTCACCATTCCTCTTCAACTTCGCTATTGATGAAGTCATGGAAACAGCGTTCGCTGGACACGACCTAGAAGGTGTGGAGCTACTTCCTTGTGAGCGACTTCTTGAATTGGAGTATGCGGACGATATTGCCCTAATCTGTGACAGCCTCCAAACATGCCAAAGAGCACTGGACCGATTAGCACTGGCTGTCAGTCGTTTTGGACTATGCTTTGCTCCATCGAAATGCTAAGTACTTCTCCAAGATTGGCAGGGACCCAACCCTGCGCTAACGCTTGGTGGTGATCTGCTAGAAGTCGTTCAGTAATTCAAGTACCTGGGCAGCTATATTAGCACCCGTGGGATTGAAGATGAGGTTACGAACCGTATAGCAAAAGCTCGAGGTGCTTTTGCCAATCTCCGCCACCTGTGGCGCAGACGCGACATTACTCTCGCCCTGAAGGGCAGATTTTATAACCCAGCTCCTATACGGCTGCGAAACCTGGCCCATCAGGTCGACTGACATGAAGAGACTCGTCACATTCGATCATCGCTGCCTTCGCAGCTTAGCTCATGTCTGGTGGGAACACCGCGTGAGCAATGAGCGTGTTCGACGTCGCGTATTTGGTGCAGGAAGAGCGAGTGAACCGCTCTGCACCATTATATCACGCACCATGCTCCGATGGTTGTGCCACTTGTTGCGCATGCCAGCACACCGACTCCCGCGATGTGCATTGTTTGCGCGTTGTGGGTGCGGTTGGAAGAGGAGGAGGGGAGGCCAAGTGATGACTTGGTCGAGAGGAATGAAAACCCTCACTTCGAATTTGGCGTCGATTGGTGCATCCCGACTGCCTGGCTGGGGTCCTAAGGACGGTGAACACGTTTGGTTGGACACACTTGCTGATATGGCTCAGAGCCGGCATCAATGGCGTTTGTGTTGTGATTTCCTTTGTCCATCCCCCTCCTGTTTAGCATCCCTCTCCATTCATGATCTCACTTGATAGGCACAATACGAGTTTCTTTTACGGCAGCCAGCTGTTAGCTCTCCGGAACGATGTCTATCCGTTACTGGGGACTGAGCGGGCGTGCCACTGTTTGTTTTCCTTTCCTTGTCTTTTGTATTGCGGCACAATAGCTGAGGTGTTTTCCACCTCCAGCTAACATGTAATGATGATGATGTTGATGGTACTCAGATAAACCGCACAAGCTGAAGAGAAATTCATCTGACTCGCGCAGTGTCATGTGTACAAATAGAATGTGTGTACAGTAGAATGTGTAGCCAGCACCTGCTTCATGCAAGTTACCATGCTCATCGAGCTTCGTTTCACTGAGCGGCGCAATATCGATGTGGTAGCGCACCAGTTCCATCGCGACGGGTGCGGTGCGTCGTTTGGAGCGCTCACTCCAATTCCGGTCCAGTAGTGTGCGCACGTTCCAGCAGCCGATGCTGAGTGCTTTGCGCGCAGGCATACGATTGTATTGGTGGGCATTCGCACGTGAGATGGTCGTTATGCTTCGGAGGTTTGCTTGAGGGAATCCACCCGGAGGCTTTGGCTCAATAACCTGACCCACGAGGCAGTAGGGAGCAGGTCTTGCTTGAGAATATGATTGCATACAGATTGGGATCTGCTTGACAGCCGTCCCACGCAGCCTTTGAGGTACTGGAACGATTCATATATGTTTTGCGACCGGAGTAGGATACGCACCTGCGACCACTGCCAGACGCAAGTTGGTTTTGGCGGGTTGGCACCAATTTGACCAGAGGTTGCCTGGCTTGAGGCAGACAGTAGCCAACCATTAAACACTCGGAGGTGCCCTCCCACCGTCAGAGACAGTGCGTGGCGCTCGTGCTCTACGCCAATCGAGCTGTGAGCTTATAACCCGTAGACCTGTTATCGCCCATGGCTAGGTTTTACGGGAAGAGGACCAACGACCAATTCCTAATCTCCAAAGAGGATGGACTAGGATACTGGCACTGCGCCCACACCTGACAAGAGGACTACTCGAGTGCTCAGCCAAAACCTTCGATGAAATGTGCACCCGAAAGGCACCGGGTCTAGCACATAGTCAGTTCACTGACTCATGCGGACTGGTGTCCTGGATCTTAGCAGGGAGAAGGGAGTAATCCAACTCCCATCCAGCGTTCTTCACCTGGAGACTTCCAGGACACCAGCCAGTGGCACTAGAGTAGCGGAAGTGGGTAGATCAGCTGTCAGGATCTAGCCACCACCAGCCTCGGGGCACTTAGGCTCTCCCGCGATATATATATATATATATATATCAGCCAGAATTCGTTCAGAAATGCTATTTAGGCAGCTATATCAGCACCAGTTTAATGGAACTTGAAATGACATGCGGTATAGTAAACCTCGATGCACTTTTGTTAATCCTCGCCAAATGTGGTGTCGGCGTGATGCCAATTTCCTTCTTAAAGTAAATGTTTGGAACGCAGCTGTGCGGTGTGAAACTTAGTCCATCAGGCCGACAGACATGAACAGGCTAGCAACGTTCAAACATCGCTGCCTTCGCAGTTTGGCTCATATCTCGTGAGAACACTACGTACGCAATGAGCGTGTTCGGCGTCGTGTATTTGATGCAGGAAGAGGAAGTAAACCGCTCAGTACCGTTATTTCACGCACAAGACTACGATGGCTAGATCACATGTTGTCCATGCCAACACGCGATCGGCGAGTGGACGGAAGAGAAGGAGGGGAGGCCAAGCGGTAATTTGGTCGAGCGGAATGAAAACTTCGAATTTAGCGTCAGTTAATGCCTCTTGACGACCGGGCTGAGATCCCAAGCACGATGAACAAGTTTGATTGAGTATACTTCTTGACATTACTAGGAGCTGACCTCAATGCTTTCTCCCTCGAACTGCGATCGCATACCTAAAGCACAGTTGGTACTAAGCATTATATACTAGTTTATTTTTATTATTATTATTATGAAATCTTTATTGTCTGGCTTTTTCACCAATATCATCATAATATCGCATCACATTGACAGTCGTTTATCATTTTTAGTTAACGTGTAATGTTGATACTACTTTTCCCCGGATTCGCTAGCCTCAGTAAAGATCTATTAAGATGAAATTAAACTGAGCCGCCACTAGGGCTGTGACCTAATACTGACGTATATTTTACGACACTCATAAACAGAGGACTTCTTTAGAGTTTTAGAACTCATGAAATCCGTTTTACCCCGTACCATTGCTTTACCTTCATAGGGGTCGATATCGTGGCTTTCTTGTCTTTGTCATTGTATCTCACCCTGATTCATAGCAAAAACCGGTGTAGAACTAGTCTCAGTTGAAGTTGGTAATCCGATTGCTACTGATGCCTCCAAGATCTTCATACAGCGTATCTTTCCATTTGCTTCTCTTCCCCCCGACAGTTGGAATGAGTTGCAAAACTATGCCCGCAAGCGAAAGTCGAAGACATATATTTTCAAACCAGATACAGGTTGTCAGGGTCGGGGAATCTACTTGACGAAATCGGTCAAAGACATGCGACCAATGGATAACATGATTTGCCAGGTGTATCTCTCCAAGGTTAGATTGTCCCTCCGCGTTCAAGACTTGCAAATGATTCTATGTTCACCTTGCATATGGTACGATTTGACTTGCCAGGTCTGTTGGGTGTGGGATGTAATATTTACAAGCATCCCGGGCTTGAATATCTACGCAAATGTCCTGAGTGTGGTACGAACAAAACTCTCTAAAATGAGTCCCAAAAGACAATGCATCAGGGCTGTGTTGTTTGTAGTTGACTTGGTTCTTAACTACACGTAGAATATTCAATCAGCAAGTGTACAACTTCAGTACGCTCCCGTTTTAACATGGTAATGGCTATCCAGGAGATCGCCTGTTAGAACAACCATTGTCATGGAGGTTACTGTGGAGAAAATGTCACGGCTGAGTTGGGGAATTATGAAGCAGCTTATATAACTTTCAGAAACCAGCAGACGTGGTAAAACCATAGGGTTGTGGAGGTACGACAGCGTACCATGCTGCTTACTACTGCAGGCAAAGTATTTCACCCAGCAACTTCCTATACTATGCTGCATACATATGTAGATGCTTCTTGGACATGTCCATCTTCACCACCAACACTAACTACTGATGCGCTCCTATTGGATGGCACATCTTTGCTTGGCGAAACCTGCACAGATAACTCACGCCAAGCTGTCGTGTTCCGAATTATCCAAGAAGAAAGTCAAGATTCTATACTATATTTTCTCGATACATCGAAATGCAACCCTCTTGATCAGGCTTGTTCGTCGAGATGAATTAAATCGTATTTCTGTCAACAAGTTGATCGCTGGCCTGACAAGTATGCGTTCTCAAATACATCTGTTTGGTTGCGAGGGAGTTTAATGGCACCAGTTAATCGCATCCGGACTCAGTCAGACAGTCGTCACACACCCTGCAAGGCCGTTTCGTCCTTCCGGGATTCGTCATCGAGATGAAATGTTCGTACAACGCTTTTCTGGCATGTGATGACTGTCTGATTTTAGATATGATGAACTCCTACTGGTAAAATTTTTTGAACCGAGTTATATTCTAATCCTGGCTTGCCGAACAACCTCCTCGTGGTGCCAGCTGGATGGTTCGGGATTTTCCCGTTCCAGCAAATGGTTCGGCGGCAGTGTTCCAGGACGTGGTGGGTTTTCGCCTGGCAAGCGTTCTCCCTATAAAAAGCCACATATGTCCGTTTAACAACACTGTGACGTGGCGGATGTGACTCGCCACTAAATAAAGTCACTGCCACTTGCTTCATTCTGGCGAAGCATTGTATTCCAGCAACCTTATGCTGTACTTCTGGGGAGCATTGGGCCCCAGTTTGACAAAGGAACAAACAAAAGGCGTATGAACTGAGCAATCAGTCACCGGCTCCCAATGGGCGCGATTCCCTGAATTCGCTCCGCTGCCTTGCGGGCAAGCTATTCAGCCAAAGGCTCGGGGTGGTGTCCCCTAAGTCAACACCCTACTTCGGCTTGGGCAACCGGGTAGTATCTCGCCCTCTGAGAAAACCATGGACATTGTTGTGTTGTGTTTTATTTTACTGTTTCTGTACCTTCGTTTGAATCCCATGGTTTCTGATGGCATTATGTCTGCTAACAGACTTTTGCAAATATATATATTCTAATCCATATCAGTTAATGCCAGCGCGGGTTAAGTTTGTTCCATGGACCAGAAATTTAGCTCGGTTTCAAGTGATGGTAGCTCTGAGCACCTATTTTACTAACGTGGTTTGTTACGTTAAGTCTGAATTGCCGTTTTCTGTCAGTGTTATTGAGTGTCGGCCGGTGGCCGAGTGGTCTGCACGGTTGCTTTGCAACCATGAGGTCACCGGTTCGAATCCGCATAGGGGTGGGCGTCCTCGCGGTATACTCAGCCCGCGCGCGACTGGTGGTGGTTGCGCGGCAACGAAGCGCCGTTACGGCGTACAGCTGACACATTATTATTTATTTTTATTAGTGTTATTGAGTACCCTCGATGTTGAATACTGCCTCTTGAATACGTCAGGTTCTAACAATGTGATATCAACTCTCCTAGTCGGATGAACGAACGCGACTCAGAATTATTTCTTGCACAGCACGGTAACTGACAAATCTCGAAGTCTGTGGGTTCTCGGAACTTAGCCGCGAAAGATTTAATTCACGCGAGTCGAACGGGTTCATAGACCGAACGCAAAGTTTCTACGCACGATTTTCCAACCCAAGAAGAATCAAGAACAAGACAGGTCTTTTGCCACAGGCGCTTTTACTGGCCAAAGCTAAGGCGATTCTAGTGTTGTACAGTCTCATTTTTATATCACAAAACGGTGATGAAGGGGGGTTTCCCCTTGGAAGGCTTTGCTTACGCAAACCCTGGAAACAAGAAACATGGTTTTATGTAGATATGCAAAAGTCCGTAAACTGAGCAGAAATGTTGGAAGTTTGGCGAAAGTTGTCCGGAAAATAAATGTTTGGTTGGAAACGAGACTGTTTCTGGGTGCAAAGGCTAAACGAATGTAAATGTTTCACGAGTTGGAAGACTGATTGAACAGGTGCGTTTTGTCTGATCCGAGTACATGTGCACTTGTGTGAATCGGGTTTTCAGCCTTCAGTAATTTAAGCCTGTAATAATTATATGGATGTTGAGTCCCCATAAATCGACGAACGCGCAAATTCTCATTGATGAATCGCTATTTCGGCCGAAAATTAGCCCGCGAAAATAACCTAGCGCAGAAGCTTCCACGTCGTCCATTAAGTCCAGGACATTTGTTTGCCTAAACGATCTACTTACACGCTGAGCTTGTTTGTGACTTCTGTTTGCAAAAAGAAATAATGGTTCATATTCTGCTAGATAAATCAGCCAATGTCTCAGAGCCACGGCGCTGTTTGTGCAACCGTTGTTCTGCTAATGTTTGCGTCCGGTGCTACAGCCCGGGCTTGGGAAATAATAATAAAATAAATGCGTCAGCTGTACGCCGTAACGGCACTTGGCTGCCGTGCGACGACTACCAGCCGCACGCGGACTGAGTATACCGCGAGCATGCCCACCACTACGCGGATTCGAACTCGCGCAGCATGATTACGAGATAAGCTCGTTACTTCTAGGCTACTGGCTTTTGAGCTTTCGCATACTAGGTTGAGTGGTATAGAAGGTACCCTTTGAACGATGCGCTTGCCATCAGTAGTCCTCTCGCAATCTTTCGCCTACTTTAAAGCTTACAATATCTCATGGATATGTCTGAATGCAGACAAACTGGACTCGGAAAACCAAATCTGCATCATCGTGTGTATCAATACCAGAAAGTAGGGAATAACTGTAAGGACGGATTACCTATTACGGTGGACCGATCACATTGGACCCACAGGTTAGTCTGGCTATCTATACATTCTGGGTCATGATGAGGCAGGTTCATCATTTGTAAGCAGTTGTCGCGATTGCTGTCCAAAACCTTGATTCTGTCTCAAGATCTCATCATTTCGATTGCCATTGTTCCTAACTCTTGATCTCCCATTCATCTACTTCCCCGCACATACCCATCCACCCACTTTACTGCAGCCGTTCGTTATAGATGGATACAAATTTGACTTGCGCCTCTACATTCTGCTGACCTCTTGCGACCCCCTTCGGATGTTCATGTTCAAAGACGGTCTGGTGCGCTTCACCACAGTGCAATACGCCGATCCTAACAACCGGAATGTGAACAATTTGTACATGCACCTGACCAATTATGCACTGCAAAAGCACAGCAACGAGTATATTCGGGACGACGAGGAGGGTGGCACAAAGCGCCGGGTGACCACATTGAACCGATGGTTCCGAGAAAATGACTATGATTTGCAAAAGGTGAGCGTGAGCTTCATCACAGCACACCTTCTTGACTCATTTGAGGCACATTACCGCTGCGACGAGGACACCTTGGTTGGATTCTGACTTAGGTGACCTAGGACTGGTTCAAAAGCAATTGTCTGCCGCCTCCAATAGGACAACGTTATGATGTATTCATTGATGGGAAGAGGCAGTTCTACAACCGATGGAAACAGTACAGCGTGGCTGCGACACTTCACAAAGCATTTTACGATAATGGCAAAAACTGTCTGTTAGCTGTTGGCATCTTGAACAATGGACAATGATTTATCACTGCATATAAGCAAGTGCTTGACACGTTCCGTAGGATGGTTGGGGTGAATAAAATGAAATCAACATATATATGAGTCATCTACCGAGCATCTGCCGAGATAAATGCGTCGACAAATAACGCCAGTGTAAATAAATATCGAGTGTAACCATGCAGAAAGAAATACGCGGAGTGCAGTGATCGCTGATGCATTGGCGTGAGAAAAGTAAAATATGGTCGCTCACACGGACGTCACCTTCATGGGTCCATGTGACACATAAATCCTGTAGAAGTGCATGATTAACAGTCCAAAATGGCTTAGTTTAGGTAACATAATGCTGGGAGCTAAGAGTAACATACAATCGTTTTTTGAAAATGTCCAAAGTAGGGGAGGATACAACTGTGTCTGGCAGGGCATCCCAGGGTTGGCAAACCCAAAGAGAAAGTAATTCCGTCGACACTAGACGTCCATATTGTTCCCTCCATTTCAAGCAGTTAACCCTGTGCTACGTGTTTTGGTTGGGGTCGCTCAAAATTTGGTACGCTAAAATGAGATCACCTCGCAGCCTTCGGTAGCGTCCGCTGAAAATGCCCAGCAACACCAGCCTTCGGTGGTAAGCATGGTAGCGCAAGCCCATTACCTTATGTGTTGCTCTTCGTTGTGGTGCCTCTAATCCCTTTAGGTCACGCTTCAACCAAGGTGCCTAAGCTTGGATATCATATTCATCATGATGGCGCAAGTAAGAATTGTGCATCATTTGGAACATTTATGGGTCAAATCACCCGAATGCACTTCGCAGCATGCAGACGTGCTGGTTGCCTCTTCTCGCAACTACTTCAACCTGTTTTGAACAGTTGAGGTCACTCTGTACGAGCACACCAATGTCACATTTCTGGGAGCTGGTCTGCAATCCGTGTGCCTCAAGCCAATACATGTAGTCATGTCTATGGCCTAATTGCACAGTGCGCAATTTGTCTAGGTTGGATAGTAGGGCGTTTTGAACTGACCAGTTCGAGATCGTGTTAACTTCTTACCCGAAACCCCATAGTCCAGGCGCATAGCTGGCGAGATTTCACATACAATCTTCAAATATGGCTCTATTCCTCAAAGTGGACCAAGTTGTTGAAGTTCGTCTAGGTCAAGAGTTTGAAACTGATAGTCCTGCATGTGCGGTTTCATCCACTTCGTATTCAGATCGTACTATTCTGAAGGCTCTTTACCTTTTGTTGTTGTTAAGAGAGTGTCCACTGGACATACATTTTTTGTGATAATTCTTACTATCGGCTTTTGTTCCGTTGTTGCTTGTCGTTTGTTGCTTTTTGTTTGTTAAACTGCATCATATCGGTAATTTAATTGACCGGCAAACGTCGTTCATAATAGATGTCATTTCATGGCTCCATTTTCGCTAATACCGCTTTCTCGGATGTCCCAGATTGGTCCTTACTTTTATCACTTCTCATTCTCGTGTGTCATTCGCTTTATCCTATGTGGCTGGTTAGCTCCAACTTGTTTCAGCAGTTTTGCTTCAGCTACCACTGTATCCTTTTTAAGTGAAGCGGATTTCTCATGTATACACACCCATCTTCACTTGTCCTCCTTGTTCACATTGCGGCCGTGGAGTGCGAAATGTTCGCAGTGACACAACAGTTGTCAAACAGTTAAGATGTTCTGGTAATGAATTTCCAACGGTCTTGAAACTTTTGAATGAATTACAGAACTTGTGCCTGATACACACAAGTATGTCGCGTGTGATCTGCTCACGCCAAAAGACTTGCCTTTTCTATCTGGCTAGTGGTGAATGCCGTACCATACATTTGAAGAGAAGATACTGAAGTGATGGGACGAATGTTTATCGCTCAGATGTTTAGTAGTCCCATGCTTTGGGCCAAAATGCGACACCATTACCATTCCTGGATCAAACGAGATGAATCCGCACGGTGAATTAAATAACGGCGCCGCGGGTGTGGTGAGTACGGGTCAGGCAAACAAATTTAACATGCTATAGGTAGAAATTCGTCACATCTAGACTCACTCAGACAGCCGTCACAAGCCTGGAAAAGCACTGTACGCGGGTTTTGTCCTTTCGGAAATCGTCAGCAGTACGCATTCCATCGGACCCTGGTAGGGCTCGAACCCGCAACTCCACTGTTGCCAGTCCGTAGTTGAGACCACTGAGCTAAGGGGGACGGTAACGACCATCGTGAATAAGTTACTACATGCGATATAGCGCCGATCACTATCCACTGAGAGGCGTTATATCACATCTAGTAACTTATTCACGATGGCCGTTGCCGTCCCCTTTAGCTCAGTGGTCTCAACTACGGACTGGCAACAGTCGAGTTGCGGGTTCGAGCCCTACCAGGGTCCGATGGAATGCGCACTGCTGACGATTCCCGAAAAGATGAAACGCGCGTACAGTGCTTTTCTGGGCGTGTGACGGCTGTCTGAGTGAGTCTAGATGTGACGAATTTCTACCTATACCATTCAGCCCCCTACTACTCCTATGTAATCGGTACGCAGACCAAACTGCTTATAATGCCATAACTTAATTGGCGGCTTAGGTTTGGTAACCTCGTTGCTTGATGAGAAGGGCTACCCTGTCCTCTGCACGACAGTAACATGTAAGTCAGTGGATAGTGAGCGGCGCTATATCACATCTAGTAACTTATTCACGATGGTCGTTGCTGTCCCCCGTAGCTCAGTGGTCTCAACCACGGACTGGCAACAGTCGAGTTGCGGTTTCGAGCCCTGCCAAGGGTCCGATGGAATGCGCACTGCTGATGATTCCCGAAAGGATGAAACGCGCGTACAGTGCTTTTCCGGGCTTGTGGCGGCTGTCTGAGTGAGCCTAGATGTGATGAAATTCTACCTATACCATACAACTCCCCCTACTACTCTTCTGTAATCAGTACACAGAACAAACTGCTTATAATGCCATAAGATAATTGGCGGCTTAAGTTTGTTAAGCTCGTCGCTTGGTGAGTGGGCTACCCTGTCCTCTGCACGGCAGTAACATGTAAGTCAGTGGATAGTGAGCGGCGCTATATCACATCTAGTAACTTATTCACGATGGTCGTTGCTGTCCCCCGTAGCTCAGTGGTCTCAACCACGGACTGGCAACAGTCGAGTTGCGGTTTCGAGCCCTGCCAAGGGTCCGATGGAATGCGCACTGCTGATGATTCCCGAAAGGATGAAACGCGCGTACAGTGCTTTTCCGGGCTTGTGGCGGCTGTCTGAGTGAGCCTAGATGTGATGAAATTCTACCTATACCATACAACTCCCCCTACTACTCTTCTGTAATCAGTACACAGAACAAACTGCTTATAATGCCATAAGATAATTGGCGGCTTAAGTTTGTTAAGCTCGTCGCTTGGTGAGGGGGCTACCCTGTCCTCTGCACGGCAGTAACGTGTAAGTCAGTGGATAGTGAGCGGCGCTATATCACATCTAGTAACTTATTCACGATGGTCGTTGCTGTCCCCCGTAGCTCAGTGGTCTCAACCACGGACTGGCAACAGTCGAGTTGCGGTTTCGAGCCCTGCCAAGGGTCCGATGGAATGCGCACTGCTGATGATTCCCGAAAGGATGAAACGCGCGTACAGTGCTTTTCTGGGCGTGTGACGGCTGTCTGAGTGAGTCTAGATGTGACAAATTTCTACCCATACCATTCAACTCCTCCCACTACTCCTATGAAATTTAACATGCGCTTTAGCATTCTGAATCAAACACCTAGATGCACAAAAAGAAGGGGATGATTTGTTTGGTATTTTACATAACACAGACAAACCGAAGGAGAACCTCAAGACCGCTACGCAAGGTACTGCTGCCATATTGCCTAGTGAGGCCCGGCTTCGGATCGAAACATTCTCCCCCGCGCGGTGCAGGGCTGTAGTATTGTGTATCGTTACTTACGGTATTTGAAAATGGTTGAAGCACAACTGTTATTTTATTCAACCAGTTTAGAAAGATCTTCAAATTTCCCGAATGGAATTCCTAATAGATGCATTCTATCCAACACTGTCCGGGTAACCGCGGGCGATCGTACTTCGCAGAGAACTCGCTCTCCTTGGTTCACTCAAGGTTGCCTTCTTAGTTTCCAACCATCACCATGTGATATTGCAGTGCAATGGAATTGACGAGGTTCTACGGCAGTTCACGATAAAGCGTGGATTAAGGAAGTCAGAGAACTGAAAGTAGAATAAGTTATGAAGGAAACGCAACCGATAGGCAAATTCGGGCGAGAGTGATGGTCGGGTAAACAGTAACCAGGTGAAACGGGTTGAACTGTCCTCGAGAAGCGAAACCGATCGGTTCAGTGAGTGTCAGCGTGACACACGATGTTTACACAGTACAAAGTGGAAACGTCGCTCACCACAAGGATATTCATCGCGTTGGGTCGAGACACATGCGCAGACAGGTCAAATGTCACAGATGGCTTACAGGTTTTCTTTCCCACTGGTGACACGTGGCAGCGTAGTGGTTTGCCTTGCCCGCCCCCACTACATGGTGCGATGACAACTTAGAAACTCGAAGGGCTGGTCACAATACTTCACGGACCGGATGGCTGTCGCACAGCCATCACGTGCGCACCTGAGATGGCTCAGCAAGACTGCCAGTGCGCGAGTGGAACTGTGTGCCAACATGTTGCGGATTTGGTAGCGCAGGAGATTAGTGTCCCGAAAGATTTTGGGTCGAAGTCGGTTTGACTTTCGCTCTTGGAGAATTACGCAATGCATAAGATTCATTCCTTATAAGGCAGAGATGATGCGGCCCCACCAAACAACCAATCTGAGGGGTAATGTAAACGCGACATGCGCAGTCTTGGAGTCTGCTTGATTAGTATGGTATGAGACATCAAAGTTTTCGTACAGGATATGTGCAGCTTTCACAGAGAAAGCGCTTAATGAAACAGATGCTGCAGAATGTGTAGACATAATCGAAACTCATAACTTAATTGACCTTCGTCGCAAATCATATGTTGTGTCGGCACCCCGCGACTGCTCCCACCCTCTAACGGTAGTGCGACCACGAATGGCCAGGGACAAAGGTTCAAGGGTTCTTTTACGTAGGGAAACCACTTCTTTATATAGCATGTCGCACAAGCGTGAAAGCCAACCAGAGTACGGAAAGCATGCGGACAAGTAAAGCCAATAAAAACTGGGTAAATGAGAAAGCACTCAGGTGCACACAAAGAATGGAAAGTGAGAGTGTTAGCGTCAGAGTAAGGCTGCAAGCTGAAGGCAAAAATAACGACTCCAAATAGCTAATAGGGATAGCGAAATGATACGTGAAGTCAAACATAGTGGACTGCCAAAGCAAAACTAAGTTCTGCAGTAATGAACGGTTACACAAGCATACCTGTAGTTTTGTTACTCCTCTAACATCGTATAATTAAATCATCGCATAATCTTGCAATCTACCGCGCACGTGAAAACATCAAATATGTGTAGGCGAAACAGGCTAGCAACATCAACGTGGTGTGATCATGTGCAATCGCCCTATGGGGAAATCCCGAAATACCACCCGGAACTCAGATACCGTGAAAGTTTTATCGGTGAAACTGAACGCCGCGTTGTTCATTTACTTGGTGGGCAGCAGATGAATAGGCGATAACGAAAAGGGTTGGTTGGAGCATCCTATATTCAAGGGTACATCGTGTCAGCGGTACGCAGTGACTGCTAGGGAACTGAGCAGCTACTTACCGTGGCACCCAAAGCCTCCTGTGTATTTGTACAAGCACAGAGTCCTCCAAACACCGTGTTAAACCTTTGATAAGACACCTTTGCAGTTGATCTTGTCTCCGTTCCTTTAGCTTCTTCCTCGCATCCAAGTGCACTGTGATGAATTACCAGTCACCATCCTCACGCCAAAAGAGTCCTGTGTCAGGCACAGTATTGTGGGATCTAGAAGAGCTACTCTGGCATCTGTGTGATGACACGCTCTGAATAAAGTGGCCTCCAATTTATTGGTTGGGGTCCTGCTTTATTCACTCTGCGGGTGTCGCCTTCTGCCGAATGGGGCACTTATGGCGCCGCTATGACATCCGTCTCTCCATCGAATGTGTTTATTGTGTGACCTAGCCTGTTCGTACGAATGACCTGTACCGACTGCCTGTCTTCGAGCACGGTTGCTTGCGATCCATTGCTCGTGTGGGGTGGCTGAGCCACATAACAAATATGGAAGTTAGACAGCGTGTCTTAGTTGGAGGCGGCCACTACTTCGAAGAGCTAGACTCGCGGCGTCAATTGCGGTGACTTGTTCACGTATTGCACATGCCCGTTCAGTGTCTTCCGCGTCGTGTATTGTTCGCGGTTGCTGAACAAGGGTGGAGAGGGCGACATAGTGAACAACTTATAATTTACTGAAACAGCATGGAAAAGCTGATAAAACAGTTGGCCTCGGTTGGTTTTCCTCGACTCCCTGGATAGGGTTCCACAGATGCTGACTGTACATCTGGTTAGAGACCCAGCCTGTCATGACTCAGAAAGGAAATCAGTGGCGGTCTTGTAACTTTGCTTTCTGCGGTGACCTCTTTTCTCCCGTACTAAACAAAAACTCAAAAACGGTGTGTGGGAACTTGAACAATTAAAAATTGTCTATTTGCTTCTTACTCTTATTACAAACTTTTATATGTAACCACGCTCCCGGGAGCGGAATATTGCATCATATATATATATATATATATATATATATATATATATATATAGATTATGTTAAGGACTACTCTGTCTTTTCAATATAAGACTTGTGCCATGTGATTCATCCAACTACCGTGATTTCCCTGTCTGTTTTAGATTTGGGCGGACATTGATGACGTAATCATCAAAACAGTGTTGTCTGGTTACGCTGTTCTTCGTCACAATTACCGTACCTGCTTTCCCAACCATGTGCAGACGTCAGCGTGTTTTGAAATTTTGGGATTCGACATTATGCTGGACCATAAGCTGAAGCCATACATACTAGAGGTAAGGCCACTATCAGTTGGATTTGGCACTTAATCTTTTGTTTATTATATGCTACTGGGTTGCAGGCACAGTAGCTGAGGTGTTTCCTACCTCTAGCTAACGTGTATGATGATGATGATGATGATGATGATGATGATGATGATGATGATGATGATGATGAGGAGGAGGAGGATGATGATGATGATGATGGGTTGCAGGCACACTTTACGATCCCATTCACTGATCTGATGTCCCCAGTCGTCGAACACCGTTTGTCTTACCACTTGCTCTTTTGAATAAACCTTACGTAACCCTATTGATCGTCCATAGAACGGACACATAGAGATTGATAAAACAATTTATGTTACCCATAAACTCCATTGGTGAACTCTTAGTTGAGTGAGAAATATCGACCATATACTGTGCGTCAACTCTAGGACTAAGCATACGTAGTTTGATGAAACAATGATGACGCCTTAGTGAAACACTTCCTAACTAAAACTGATTAAGCAGTTACTTAACCATTATAGTTCCTCTGTTAGTAAAAACAGTTTTGATAGTGGCATTCATCTCATTTACACTACAGGCGCACTTCTTGCATTATGGTTGATCTCGTGAGTCACCACCGGCCTCGTTATTCCCACTTCCGGTAAAAAAAAGTGCTGGGAGCTAACAGCGACATCCAATTATTACTTGAAAATACCCAAACTAGAGGAGGATACAGCTTAGTTTTGGAGAGAGTTCCAAGGTAGGCAAATTCGAAGGGACACTCTAGACGTCTGTATCGTTCATTCAGTTTCAGAGAGTTACCTCTGAGGTTGATATCGTGGCTAAGTTTCAGCAAATGGCGGTATACTTGGTTGGGTTCACACAATATTTGGTACCCTAGTATGAGATGGCCGTATAGCTTTCGATAGCGTCCGCTGAAAACCCAGTAACTTCAGCTTTTTGCTGGTAAGAGTAATTGGGCAGGATCTAGAGATCCTTCATTGCCCTGCACCTCTAGGTCGCGTTTCAACCAAGGTGCCTAAGTTTGGATATCATATTCATCGTGATGGCGCATTTAAGAATTGTGCATCATTTGGAACATTTATGGGTCAAATCACCCGAATGCACTTCGCAGCATACAGACATGCTGGTTGCCTCTTTTCGCAGCGACCTCAGCCTGTTTTGAACAGTTGAGGTCACTCTGTACGAGCACATCAATGTCACATTCCTTGGAGCTGGTCTGCAATCCCTGTGTCTCAAGCCAATACGTGTAGTCATGTCTTTGGCGTAACTGAACAGCGCGACATTGTCTGCAGTCAATGCTAGGGTATTCTGAAATAACCAGTTTATAATCATGTTAAGACCGCACTAGAGACCTTTGTAGTCGTCTGGTCCTATGATCATTCGCCTTATCTTGATACCATCTGCGAAAAATACAAAATCGAAAGCAATTCTAGCAAACAAGCTCATTTTCGGTGATTAATCGTCAGATCAAAAACAAAAAAGTTAACTAGTTAAGATGAAAAAGGGTGGATTGTGTAGCTAGATAGTGGAGGTGTCGAAATGCCCACAATGAGTGGGAGCGGTTCACACGGCACTTGTCCGTGCGACAGCTGGACATGTTTGAGCCAAGACTTGAACAAATTGTTTGTGCACACACAGTGGTGGGTTGTTGAGACGAATCGCGATCGCTTCCGCCCATGCAAGGATTCTGCGCCTGGTAAGCTTCTAATGGACACCCCTCACAAGACAGATCGGGCGAAAGGTATTGTTGATAACGACAGGGTGATTAGTCTGGACTGGGTGTGCAACATTTGCAGTGGTGCACGCCTTGTTCAATCCTCGGCTTAACCACGCTGGATGAGGCTCGCGAACGCGTTCGGACAAGCGTCTCATGGTGCGACCTATATGGCTTGTCCCAGGAACAGGTAAATTGATACACACAAAAAGAGGTGATATCCACTGACAGTTTATCCTTCAGCTAGAGGTGTAACATGAGCGTGAAAATGAAGATAATACGTAATTTTGCTTCCCCGTAGGTGTTAATGACGGCCGTTCTTAATCGTTTGCTAAGGTATTCTGCATTATTATCTCTTTTGAATGGCAACGATAAATATGTATGTTTCTTACCTACTGTGGGTGCTTTGGCGATCGCACAGTCAGTTCGCATGTTCCTTTCAATGGAGGCCTCAGGATAGCCATTAGTAAGAAACGCTTTTCTTATAGCGCGCACTGCCTCAATCGTGTCGTTGAAGCGTTTATCTGCACGCGTTCGCGATCCTCATCCAGCGTGGCTAAGCCGAGGATTGAACAAGACGTACACCACTGCAAATGTTGCACACCCAGTCCAGTCTAATCACTCTGTCGTTATCAACAATACCTTTCGCCCGATCTGTCGTGTGAGGGGTATCCATTAGAAGCTTACCAGGCGCAGAATCCTTGCATGGGCGGAAGCGATCGCGATTCGTCTCAACAACCCACCACTGTGTGTGCACAAACAATTTGTTCAAGTCTTGGCTCAAACATGTCCAGCTGTCGCACGGACAGGTGCCGTGTGAATCACTCCCACTCATTGTGAGCATTTCGACACCTCCATTTTCTAGCTGCTCAATCCACTCTCGCTTAGCTTAACTATTTAATTGTGTTGTCTTTGGTTTGACAATTAATTGCCGAAAACGAGTTTGTTTGCTAGACCGTCTTTTCATGATTGAAATGGGGATTATTCACCATTTGCAATTAGAAGCAATTTTTCTGGCTTGATCTTTTGTGGAAACCTGGACTAGACGAGGCCTTAGCATTAAGCCTTGTGGTATACCGCACTCCAATTCAATTCCATCGGACAGATTTTTCCATACTCTCATCTCCAACCGATGTTCGCGCAGAAAATTGTTTATCCAACGCAGGAATGGATCGCCATTGCCGTAGTTCCGGAGCTTATCTAAGAAGAATTCGATGGTCTTCATAGGTTCATCCATTATGCACGTTAACTGCAGGTGGAAAACACCTCAACCATTGCGCCGTAATACAAAAGACAAGAAGAAGAAAATTCAGTGGCATGCCGGCTGAGCCCCCAGTAACGGATGGACATCGTTCCGGAGAGTTACCAGCCGGCTATCGTGCCGTAAAAGGATTTATATTATGCCTAACGGATGAGATCGTGATTGGAGGGGGATGGACCAAGAAACTCACAACACAAACGCCATTGGGGCCGGCTCTTCGCCATATCAGCAAGTGCGTCCAACCAAACGTGTTCATCGTCCTTAGGACCCCAGCCAAGCAGTCGGGATGCACCAACTGACGCCAACTTCGAAGTGAGGGTTTTCATTCATCTCGACTGATACAGACGTTGAGCGCGTCAAGGTCATGGTACACTACCTAGCCTGTGCAGCTGCATTGTGCGCGCTAGTGCGTGAGCGTCCAGCTCCCGACTAACCAGCGATGCTTATTGATTGGTTCAAAAGCGAGTGCGTAGCTAAAGCATGTGAACTGCGTAAAACTAAACCGTTGATCTTGTACCCAGTGTGGACTGCCGATGTCCTATTGCCATTGCTTCTACTAACCTTCCATTTGCAATACTGTTGTTCTGCTTTCGGTTGAGTGTAACAATTTGGCGACGGAGGTTATTCTGATTGCTCATCGCAAATTCAATAACGGCACCCCAACCCTTTTGGAATTCTTCTACTGAGAGGCCTACTGCGCAACAATGGTTGCAGTGGAAAACTACATTTACTAACTACGTTGATTTGCTTTTGCTCCTTGGCAGAAATTGCATGATTGATGATGCAGCGAAAATTAAATTATTACGCCACCATCTCGGCATCGAGGGCCAGCGACATTTCGACAGTTTACAATTACATACGAAGCGAGACCTAAAAACTGTGTTCTATTCCCTGGACCGAATATGGAGGGAAAAGCCTCATGTGTTTACTGCTCGGTATAAATTCAGCACCATGCGATAACAGCCAAATGAGACTGCAAATGAGTTTATCTCTCGTCTCCTTACTGCTCTCCTTGACCACGCCTATGATCAGATCCTTTCAGCCCAGTTCGCAGAAGCGATGCTGTTGCAGGCATTAATCGTGGGTGTTTTCGATGAGAAGGCACGATAACGTCTGCTTTCCGAAGATGAAACGCTATTGACGTGGGAAAATGCATGTGATATAGCCCGACAGCGTGCCAACCTCGTCCAGGAACTAGCCACATTTCCCTCTTCAAATCAATCAATCTCACGTGACGTAAACAAGGTCTACCAGACTAACCGTGGACATGCCTTACCTCGCCCCGCACGGCGCAAGGAATTCCGTTGTTACCGTTGCGGTGAGAATCACTTGTCCCCAACTGACTGTCCGCACATTCATTCACTATGCAGATTTTGTGGAAAAATGGGTCATATTCAGAAAGTGTATCTCTCCAAGCGGAAATAACTCGTCCAGGAACAATCTAAGGCTACGAACTGCATTACCGATGAGTTGCACCAGCATTCGATTAACACCACAACCGTTTTTAATCGCACCATTACAGCAGAAAAACCGTTTGTCGTATCCGTCCAAGTGAACGAACAACCGGTAGAGTTTGAAATTGATACCGGTTCCGCAGTCACTTTGATCCGATCAGACGCCTTATCCCAACTTCCAAAGCTGTGTCCACTGAACATGCAGTTGCGATCGTACACGGGACAGATGGTGAATGTGCTTGGTACCTTCAATGCACGCATTTTTTACCGTAATTCAACGAGTCATATGTGTGTGTACGTTTCTGGAGGACTGGGTCCGAACATCCTGGGCCGCGATGGAATTAAGCGCCCTCCTGGCATAATGTCGAACGTCAACCTGGGAAAAGACAATCCACAGTTATCCGAGATTTCGCAGAAGCATGCAGTCTTATTTGATCAGTCGAGATCAGGACTTTTAAAGAATTACAGTGCACACCTGGTATTGAAACCACAGACAAAACCGCGGTTCTGGAAAGCTCGCACTGTTCCCTATGCCCTCCGTGATATGGTCGAAAGTGAACTGCGCCGACTCCAGTTGTAA